GGTCTGGGAAAGCCCCTCTCTTTTGTGGGGGTGACTCTTACCACCAAGAGTGAGGTTCATAGCTTGGGTGTACGTCTGGACCCGGCGCTCAGCATGGAGACCCAGGTGTTGTCAGTGGTCTGTTCCACACACTTCCACCTTCGGCGGATTGCCCAGCTGCGTCCCTATCTTGATGTGGGTGCACTCACCACTTTGGTCCATGTGCTTGTAGTCTCAAGATTAGACTACTGTAACACACTCTGCATGGGGCTGCCTTTGAGACTGACGCAGAAACTTCAGATGGTGCAGAATGTGGCAGCCAGACTTCTTACTGGGGTGAAAAGATACCACCATATTTCCCCTGCTCTGGTATCTGGCAGAGCACCTTCTCCCACCCAGTTCTGCCAGAGACACTCGTTCTAGCCAGGCCGAGCGACTGAGGGGCCTAACACCGAGGGAGGCCCGGAAGGAAAGAACGAGAAACCGGGCCTTCTCGTAAGTGGCCCCTCACCTCTGGAACAAATTCCCCATAGAGATCTGCCTGGCTCCCTCTCTGGGTGTCTTTAGATGTAAACGTAAGACATGGCTATTTAGGCAGGCTTTCCCTCCTGCTGTATCTTAATATTTACATTTTCACATCTTGGATTTTTGCATGTTTATTGGTTCTCATGTTTTTAAATTTTCTAATGCCACCCAGAGTAGACCATTGGTCTAGATGGGTGGGGTATAAATCTAATAAAAATAATAATAAAATAAAATAAATGTTTTATTTTTTTCATGTACAACAATCTACATTTATTTGAGTACAGTCATGTCATCTTCTTCTGGTTGCTGCACAGTGGTGGAGGGCAGGGTTTCACTTAACTGGGACTTATTTTTGGGGTAGCCTTATATTACGAGCATCCTGAAAAATCATACTAGGGTTTATTTTCAGGTTAGGTCTTATTTTCGGGAAAGCAGGGTACTAGTTCATATAACACATATTTCCATAAATTAGCATGAGTGGCCAGGGGTTTACAAAGAGAATCAGTATGTTTATTACACTACTGGGTGAAAGGGAGCCAGGTTTATAAAACAAATCTATACTGGAATTTTGGTACCTCACATGTGAGTGGGCAGTGAGTTTTTCCATCAAAACTAATTTCCATCCACTGAGTATTTTCACATGTTTTGGAGGGATCTTTTTGGAATCAGCAGTGGTCATCATCCTAAATGAGGGAATGTTGTGTACATATTTAGCCATCTAACTACTTCCCACATATTCATTTGTAGTAAAGATTTTAAAATGTGGTCCCAAACCTTGATAGATGTATTGAAATGATCCATGTCATAGGGGCATAACTGAACAAGAAACTGGCAAGATTTCAAAAAGACAGATGCAGGAACTAAGCAGTTGAGTTATAACGAATGAAATATAGTTTAGAGTTTTCTGTACTGCTTAGTGGTACCAAAATCACAGAAAGTTCAGGAAGACAGAGACAGGTGGATAATGGATGACAAACAAACAATGACATAAAGTCTTGAACCTCTAGCATTTTAAAACAGGCACCCAGTGCTGTACCCTCCTGTATCATGCACACTCGGAAGCAAAAATGCATCTTCAGTGTTTTTGCCCCTCAGAGAACTAGCAAAAAGTACTGAGGAGGACATAGCTCTGCCCCAGAAGACTGGGTCTGGAGAATCCTAGTAAAACGATCCACTGTGATTACAAGGTAAAGATAAAAATATAAGCTGCATTCCCCAGGCATTTTCTTTAATTTCTGTCACTAAAGTTGCTCTCTGTATCCACCCTTTCCTCTAGCCATCAAAGGACTGGGGTATACATCAAAGACATTGAAGGTCTATTTTAATGTCTTTCCATAGTTTTAAAATGCTTGTTTGATGTTAAGAGACCAAATATAAACATTATAAAATTGATTGCAGTTCAAATTTCCTAATATAATGTCATTATTGGGCATAACCACATCTAGAGATGCAAGATTTCTCAATTTTTTTCTTTTAATTTCGGGGCTACTGTCACCATCTGCAGTGATCATGGAGCCCAGGAAAATAAAATCTGTCACTGCCTCCATATCTTACCCTTCTATTTCCCAGGAGGTGATAGGGCCAGTGGCCATGATCTTAGTTTTTTTGATGTTGAGCTTCAGACCGTTTTTGCGCTCTCCTCTTTCACCCTCATTAAGAGGTTCTTTAGTTCCTCCTCACTTTCTGCTATCAGAGTGGTATCATCTGCATATCTGAGGTTCTTGATATTTCTTCTGGCAATCTTAATTCCGGCTTGGGATTCATCCAGTCCTGCCTTTTGCATGATGTATTCTGCATATAAGTTAAATAAGCCGGGGGACAATATACAGCCTTGTTGTGCTCCTTTCCCAATTTTGAACCAATCAGTGGTTCCATATCCAGTTCTAACTGTTGCTTCCTGTCCCGCATATAGGTTTCTCAGGAGATGGATAAGCACAGCTACCCCTTTGGAAAACATTGCTTTAAAATTCTTTAAGTAGTAGGAGACAAGGCAGCCATGGTGTCTCTTGGTCATCTTAATTCCTCACCTGCTGTATCAAAGTTTAGCATACAGCAGATATGGGAAAGGGGAACAAAGTAAGAAAGGGGTGCCAGATGGCTACTTCCCTCTAATGTCACTAGGGGATTTTTCATTACAGCATGGTTATCTGGGTTGCAGCCTGACCACTTCTAGTAATAAGGTCTATCAGAAATTCCCTCTTATAAAGTTCAGGGATGTGCACTGCATTTCTGCAAAACTCAAAGACGTCAGCAAATGGGTTAAAACAGGAATTCCAAGGATTCTTGTGCAGATCCCATGACAGTTACATTTATTATTATAAAATCAATATAGATTCAAGGTGCAACTATGTCCAAAACAGAAAATCCAAAGTTGTAAATACCTTTTAATTCATCTGTGGTATACAGTAGTTATCACAATTACAGTATATTCTTGAAAAATGCATCTTTTAGCGACTTCAGAACATTTCAGTTTGGTCTACTCAGTTGAAAATGGTATCTTTGGAACGGTTTTGTAGGAAAGTTAAAATATGTGCCCTGGACACAACTTGGGGTCTCGGACTATAAATTGTCTTGTAAGTTTAACCTCCAAAGTTGGCAATTTTTGATGATAAATCTTAGAAGTGACAAAACTATGGCATGGAACTAAACCAGAAGGTGTTTTACATTTTGAATGAGTTGTGATAATTGAGCCAACATCTAAATTCTCATACTCTATATGTGTGCATAAGAACTTACAGTAGGTGTCATTACTGGGATTTATGCTGGTATAGAGAGCTGTTAAAACAACAAAGGCCAGAATCCTCCTGCATTGCACAAGAAACAGGAGACAGACTGCCATTGGTTTGTTGCACTCCATAGTCCTCTAGTTGTACTGAGGCACATAATGACTTGAACACTAAGGCTTAAGGCTAGCAACAGGCAAACTGCAAAATATATGCCATTACACACGTGGTATTAGCAATAGAATTTGGCTCCATTCATTCAAATGACATGATGGATATATATTTTGTGTTGTGGAAAAATAACTGTAAAGTTCTTTAGACGGCAGTTCAATTTATAATATGCCATACGTTAGAGGCTTTTTTATTTGTAATAATGTTTTCTGGTTGTACTCTGTGATGTTCTAACATTGTAATCCTCTACTTAGCTTTCTATATTGCACCAAGTCCCATTAAATTCAATTGGGTATGCAATATAACTGAATGCAAATTCCAGCTTAAATTATCATTACTGGCCTTCGGGTAGCAGTGGTCTTTTAATTCCTAGTACTTGTACATTTCAATGTATGTAATGTATGTTAATGTATATGTCAATACTTATTCAAATATTGCTTTGTGTGTTAGAAACTGAGACTTAAATCCTAATGTACAGTATAGTTTTTCCTTATTTATTTTCTGTATAAATACATTAAAATATAATCATGTACCATGACAGAACTGTAAGTAAGAATTTTAAAAACTGCTGCACTTTTCTGCTTCTGTAAAGCAAGTGGAGAGTTACTGGCCCTCTTCCTGACTATGCTGGACAATCTGCATAGAGTATTTACATGAGATTACAGTTAAGTTTCTCCCCCTGCAGAGAGCTAAAGGGTGTCATATGCCAGCAAGTTGATTCTGACTTAATAGCAACCCTAACAAGATGTTCAAGATACTGTACATGAAATATGCAAGGAATGTTTTACTGTTGCCACCCACCCTTCAACTTTCCATAGTTAGGGATTTGAACCCAGGTCTCCCGAGTCCCAGTTCAGTCCTGCACCCACTTCATTTCATTGGTTCTTGACATAAGAGGAGCTGTCATTTCAGTAATAAAAAGTAAAATAACGTGGCGAAGTCCATGGAAATCAACCAAACTTTGAATAGCTGGAATGACGAACTGAAGACCCAGCCATCGATGAAGACAGTAACGTGTTGTTACACGTGGATACATCTGAAAACAACGACCGGGCAAAAGCGTACATCCCCAGTTTTTCTAAAGACCCGTCGGAAGCTGCTGGCTCGGGGGCGGACGGGGGACGGGACAATATGCCTCTCAGCCCAACCGGCGGGAAAAGCCGCATCCAGGCCACTCGTACAGCAGCTGGGGGGACTTAAAAAGAGTCCCGCCACGCCTCCTCGTTGCAATCCCCGTGGCAGCCGTAAACCGAGCGCTCCCTTTTGCAGCGGCGTCCGCTCAGGGACAGCGCGGCCACGGAACCACCCGACGAGGCGCCGAAACAACGAGAGACTGCCTGCTCGCCCGCCCGCCCGCAGCGCCGGCCCCCAGCGGGAACAGCCCAGTCCCGCCGCGCGTCCCATCGTCGGGCTACTATCACGCCACTTCGCCGCTTCCCTTCGGTCCGCCCGATCTCGCTCCCTGATTGGATGGGCCGTTGAAGCACAAGGGGGCGTGGTTTTTAGTTCGGCTACGACGAATAGAAGGTAGCTGCTTGTGACGCGCCCCGGTCGCCTTGGCGCCGCTGAGTGGGCGGGGCTCTGCCTTGAAGGGGGCTCGGCTTGGCGCCGCTGCCGCCTATCAGGCGGGCCCGGGCTTGGAGGGGCGTGGCCTGCTCTTCATCCTTTTCTACAACCGGCACCCGAGTTCAGTTTTCCTTCGTGTTTCCCGAAGGCGACCATGCAGAAGGTGGCCGTGGTCACCGGCGCCAGCAGGTGAGGGCGGGGAAGAAGTGCGGGAGGCTCCCGCCCGGAAGCAGGGAGGCTCCGGGCTTGCCCTTTTTTGGAGGTGGGGGAAGGCAATTCGGTTTTGCCGGTGGTCGAAGGTGCCCGTGCGAGGGATGAGCTAAAACGTTTTAAGTGTGTATTGAGGTCTTGTGGACGAATTCTGCGGGTGCCCAACATCTCTCTTTATTTCATCATCAGCGAGTTAAAAGCCCTTCACTTAACTGATACTGAGATGTGACAAGGGCTGTTTGGCTCAGGGCGGTAAAATGTCGAGAGTTCAGTGAAACGGAAGCTTAGCGCTGAGGGAATCATGTGTGGAGGTGTGAACAAATAATAAATGGGAAACACATAACCCGAATATGGGGTACTAGTTAACAAAGCAATCTAATACGGGTTAACTCAGCATGGTATACTGAAGGATACATTTCTCACTAAAAGGATGATTAGGAAAGAGATGAAACACATCTTTGTTGTAGTCCTGTTTCTATGGGGTTTTTTGTATATTTCTGTGGTATTGACTGCATTATAGGTTTCATAAGATTTATCGGGTGATAATTACCACAGAATATTATGCATGTGGAATTGGAGATTACTGGGTTTTAACCACATTATAATAATAGGTTGAGGTTCTGAGGAAAGTTTGTTTTGAAATTTGGAATCTTCATTTGTACACTTTTGAAAGTAAGCGAGCCGTGTGTCCTTTCATGCATGGCCTCTACAAAACTGGCCCTGCTTAATGGTGGTAGGCTGGTGGTGGTCTGCTTTAGCATCATCCCCATATGTATGGGGGGGCGATAATGAAACTGTAGAGACTTGCACAACTGCAACAAGAGTTTGGTGGTTTTTAACTGCAGAAGGGGATGCAAACAATCCCTAGCCACTTCACAAAATTAAACAAGGGAAGCCCACTCTCCCTGGACACTTTGGAAACTTTGCTGATATCTGCCCTCCACCTTTGGGGTACCTTCTCCACCCACCCCTGAATTGCTGCCGGAAACCACATCTCTTGTATCATTCTCATACTGGCTCCCTCAGGTATGTTAGACCAAGAGAAAGTCACTTGCCTAGGATTATTCAGTAAGCTTCATCGCTGGACAGGGATTTGATCCTGGATAGGGATCTCCTTTGATCACACTCAGTCTGTAGCATATCATTGATTGGCTTGTTGATTTATTTTTAATTGACTTTCATCAACAGTTAACATTTTGTCTGTCTGTAGATAGGAATGCTGTTGCCTTCTGATTGGGAAGCCTTTCTTCTTTTATTTATTTATTTATTTATCGCGATCTAGAACAGGTCTACTCTGGGCGGTTTACGTATAATATAAAAAATAAACTAAGATCTTTTTTATGTGGTGCTGGATGGGGATATATTCAATGTTTGTTTCTTTCAAATTTCACATGTTCCATATTGATCTGTGGCTCAAATTAAGCCTTGACGTCTGGTTGCTGCCCTGATGTTTTTTAATCCAAGGGTACATCCTGATGAAAATCACTAATCAGTAAGCATCGTATTTTAAAAAATCCAATTTAAATAAAAAAAGATAAAAATTGGAATTAAATTTAAAAATCCAATGTAAAGGCCCCATTTTTCACCTTCTCTGTGACACTTGGTGATTGAAACAGAGCAGAAAGATGCCACCTGCACATTTAGATCTGTCTGTCAGGGAATTGTAGCTTTCTGGGTTGCCCATGAAATGTGTGAATTGCATAGGGTCTTGATACCTCCTGATGCCTCACAGCAGGCCTTGATTGTGTGTTCCTCCTTGTTTGCAGTGGAATTGGTTTTGCGCTGTGTGAGCGTCTCCTCCAGGAAGATGCTACCCTACATTTGTGCTTAGCCTGTAGGAACATGGAAAAGGCCAACGTTGCCCGGAACAAACTGCTATCCTCCTTCCCCGTTGCAGACATCAGCATTCTTCAAATAGATGTTGGCAAGATGGAGTCTGTCCTCCATGCAGCTGAAGAGATTAAGACAAGGTATCTTGCAGTGGGATTGGAAGGAGGGGAGGCCTTGGACGTCCTCCCTGTTTCTCCCTAGTCAGGAATTTTGCCTTGCCTAAACCTTGCCTCCTTCAAGCACTTCTCCAGAGTGACAAGGCGACCTTATCTCTGGATACTGTACGTTTCAGAAGAATAGCTGTGTTTGTCTGTTTGCAACAATTGGTTACCTCAAAGGCTAATCTTTTTAAGATTGTACTAGACATTCCCATTCTCACCATTTCTGCTGCAGTCCTACTGATAGGGACGTTAGCTGGGGGAAAGCAGCTCAAGGCTAATCTTGCCGAATTTATGGCTGATCTCATAATAGGTTTCTGTTTGATGCCACGGGCATTATAAAGGATTATAAGCATGTTTATAATAAACACTATGCCATCCTAGTAGAGCATATTTGGGCGTCTGCAAACAGAAATGTTTGTGCCTTATCTTGACAGGACTCACGATGGATGTTATGTTGTGAAGTACCAGTTTTGTTCACACAGAATCAAGCTGCAGAAATTCTCCTGAGCTCTGCCTCTTCAAACAGATGTAATGGGATGTAATGTTCAAAGGCTCTACTATGAGAATTAAATATTTTGTAAGCAGAAGATCTTGATACCAGGGAGAATAATTCACCCTAACCTGCTGTCAAGTGCCTGTGTATAAAGTCATCTGCCCTGACCCTAAGAGGATCAGTCTTCCATACAGGCCTCTGTACACAAAAGAATTGTTACAGTTTTGGTACAGTCTTGCTGCACAACAAAGTGTGGTGTTACGATAGACATTACCCAGTAAGTCTGTGACAAAATCATATTGCTTAATGTAGTAAATCACTGGTTCTTAACCTTGGGTTACTCAGGAGTTTTGGACTGCAACTCCCAGAAGCCTTCACCACCAACTCTGCCGGCTGGGGTTTCTGGGAGTTGCAGTTCAAAAACATCCAAGTAACAAAGGTTAAGAACCACTGTAGTAAATCACACTAAAATAGGCCCACTGAATCAATGGGGATTTGGTAAGTAAATTCCTCTGTAGGTTTCATTGATTTGAATGGCCCTAGTATCTGACATACAGTATTTTAGCATAGTAAATTTCAGTTAAAGGAGGCCCATTTGAATCAGAGGAATGTACAGAGAAGGTGATTCACCAAATCCCCATTGATTCAATGGGCCTACTTTATTGCCATTTACTGTGATAAGCCACAGCATTCCAGCCAGTGTGTTTCCGGTTTACTTGTTTATATAGTGTATGTATGTATTTGGTTTACTATAAAGTTCATTTAATTGCAGTTTATTTGACCCGAGTCTTCCAAAGGAGGCTTGCAGTGGTAGGGAACTCTGTTCTTTATTGTCTTTCTCACTTTCGTTATGACATTGCAGGTGTTTCGTTAACCAGGTGTCACTTTCATTCTGTAGATTTCATCGTTTGGATTATCTCTTCTTGAATGCTGGAGTCATGGTAAATCCACGTATCAGTTTTGGGGCATTTCTACATGGCATCTTCTCCAGGTATAGTATATTTGATTGGTCAGTTGCTGTTTATTTTTTTTCTTGGCTTCATGAATGGGAGGGAAAAAATTAGTGGATATTCTGTTGCAAGAGAGTTCACTGATAGGGTCACCAAATAACGCTGAAGTTCTGCCTGCACTGCTTGTCCATGGCCACTGTTTCCTGTGCTAGAAACCTAAGCCCATGGTTTAGGTCATGAACCTCCATCCTCTGAGAGAGAACTTTGCAACATGACACTTTCTCCTCATTAGGGAGGAAAACCTGACTTGAGGCTGTTGTCTTGCTTTGCTGCTTTAATTCCTTTCCTCTGTAAGTAGTGCACCTGGAATATAGAGCCACAAAGCTCCTCTTAGAAGTCTTAAGAATCTGAAGCTGTCTGTGTTTTAAAATAAGTTTTTAGCCTTTACTGCTGCATTTTGTTGCATGATGGCAACACCATTAGAAGAGTAGAAATAAAGCATGGAATCACCCTGTTGAAACCCATTGTCTTATCTGTCTCATGCCTAACCTAAGCTCTACTTTCTTTCTTCGAAAAAATCTGTGAAAGTGGCCATCCACATGAAAAACATTATTCAAATGTTTTATATTGGTTCAAAATCAGGTTTTGAGAAAGAATAATATAGAACAGGACACTGTATTTAGTGTCCTTTTAAAATATAAGTATGTCTTATTTTTAAATATACATATGTACATGTGTGTGCATGCTTTCACAATTCCCAGAAGGATAGCTGTGCTAATACTTTTTCAGGAAAAACGACAACTTAAAGAGTAAGGTGTATGCTTTCACAGAACGCCATTCATTTCATAAGTTACATGAAGTGTTACCCACTGAAGGCAAGGATACATTACACAATTGTCACAGCATATGTTTTTGTTTATGTGGTTTATGTGTGTTTTTTCCCCTTCCAGTTTTTGTTTTTTCCCTGGAGGGCAAAGGTGTATGCCAGTTGAGATACTTTTTTGTGCCTGATTTAGTGGCTTCAGACTCATAAAGCCATGTGCAACTTTGGTCCAGACTATTTAAAGGATCACATCTCCCCATAGGTGGCTGGGATCTGTGAGGGAATCCCCTTCTCTTGGTTCCACCACTCCTCACAAGCATGCATGTTCAGAAACAAAATGGACTTTCTTGGTGGCTGCTCCCAGGCTGTAGAATTCTCTTTCAAGGAAGCTAGGCTTTCCACCTCTTTTGTCCTGCTGTTGCAAGGCAAAATCCCCCCCCTTTTTTTAAACTATAGTTGGCTTTGGGGTGACTGTTGAGAAAGAAGCTTTTAAAAAAAACCTCTGAAATGATTTTAAATAGTTGTAGAATGATTTAAACGAGTTGGTTTTTCCGATATGATAAGCTTTTAAAACCTGTTTTAATTATATAACAGTCCTGTTCCATGACACAAGCAAAGTCTTAAGTTTCCATCCATTCCTCTGAGACAAATGAAGATCTCCCACAGTGATTCTTGGGTTTGTGCATGTGTGTACCAAGCCAGGGTATGTGTACATCCTTAGGAATTGTGGCAGGAGCTTTTTATTTCCCAAAAGAAATAGATTTGGGGAAAAGATAGGCTAAGAAAGGAAGTGGTAGTAGAAGTAGAAAATTGACTAATCACAGTATGCTAGCTACAGGTAGGGGCCACCTACAAATTAGGCAAAAGATAGAGACTCAATAATATTGGCATTACTTGCGTGGGATCCAAGACATAAGCAGAGAGGGCACCTGCAAACCCATCCTCCTTGAGTCTAGTGTGTACAGACTGGAAGCCGTAGCAGGTTCATTTATGTACTCCTATCTGAATGTTGGCTCATGTACACAGGACACACAGAGGGGGTCTTCTGGAGGTACTGTTCCTTTGTTGGAAGGCGTAGCCCATTATCTGTTGGGGGAGAAAGCAGTGGTAGTTCATAATAAAATGGAGGAAGTTGGTGGGAGCAGCAGCCTTGCAAAGTACCCAGCAAAACCCTCCTACGAGCGAGGCCAGGAAGGTATTTGGGACAGGGATAAGGCAAATCTTGTCATAACCCTTTGGCTGTTCATGTCAGTTCCAGTGTATCTCATATGAGACATATTCAGTATTGTCACAGCTTCTACCATAGGGCTTGTTAATGTCTCCTTATGGACAAATATATGTACCGATTGTGGGTTTTTTGGGCTCTTCGGCCGTGTTCTGAAGGTTCTTCCTAATGTTTTGCCAGTCTCTGTGGCCGGCATCTTCAGAGGACAGCAAATATATGTACCCTTTCACAATGTGGTTTCTTATCTAAGGGCAGCAACTGGACTGTTTGCCACCCTCCGTGCAAAATTCTAGAAGTGTCATTTCCAGAGAATTCACCTTTTCAGTCCAATGCAGGGGAAAAAACTTCTGCAGACGTTCATGGCTGCAATGCTTTTAAAGTTAGCCTGGCAAAAAAACAGCAACATGCATTCAACAAAGCCTGGCTCCCAGCACTGAAAAATACAACCTGCAAAAGGTCAATGAACTCTACCCAGATATAAGGACCGGTGATCACTGCACACAAAAGACCAACTAACTACACCCATCAATCACAGTGACAGTTAATCTCTCCTGCTTCTCACAACAATACACCCACAACAAAAACCATGTTGATCACCACAGTCGCCCATCTCCTGAAAAGGACAAAAGTTGATCACACAGCTATAAATACAGTGGTGCCTCGCTTAGTGATCGCTCCGTTTAGCGACAAAATCGCTTAGCGATGCTGTTTTTGCGATCGCTTTGCAATGTTCTCTATAGGGTATTTTCGCTTTGTGATGATCACAGGGAATTGATCATCACAAAGCCCATATTTTCTCACAGCTGATCGGCGGTTTCAAAATGGCCACCGGGAAAAAACATGGCCGTCCACTGTTTTTTGGGACGGATTCCTCGCTTTAGAGGCACCGAAAATGGCGGTGCTATGGAGGATCTTCACTCAGTGGTGAGTTTTAAGCCCATAGAAACGCATTGAAGGGGTTTCAATGCGTTTCTGTGGACTTTTTAATATTGCATAGCGACGTTTTCGTTCTGCAGCGATTTTTGCAGAACGAATTAACTTTGAGGCACCACTGTACTCAACTATCCAAACAAACTGCACCAGAGCACAGACAGAGTTCTGACTCCTGTCCTCTGAAGATGCTGGCCACAGAGACTGGCGAAACATTAGGAAGAACAACCTTCAGAACATAGCCAAAGTGCCCAAAAAACTCACAGCAACCAACATGCATTCCATTTTCCTGAAACATGTCTAACATTTGCAGTATACTTGTTCTTATTGCGGTAGCTGGAGACTAAGAGACTCCGGCAAATGTGTTCCTTTACTGGGCCTGTTGCACTCCTGGAAAAAATATCTGCATCTGGCATAAGCTAAGGATCGTGTTTCCTTTTTGCTGTCTCCTTTTTCCATATCCCTTTCACTGTAATCTCTTGCTCCTTGCGTTCAAGGTCTTGCATTAATCTCTCTTCTCTTGTTCTGTGGCCCTTCATGTTCTCACCATTCTGTTGGCATCCATCTTGCAGAACTTAAGGTTTCGTTTTCCGCTTTTTCATCCCGCTACTGCTTCTGAGCCTTTTCACATCTTTCTTTATTATGTTCTTTGGAATGTTTTCAAAGAAACAGATTTGACTTTATAGTCAAGTGGTAATTTGGGCCTGCTTCTTTGGACCTTTTCCCCTCCGGTGCTTTGCTTCTTTGTGTTATGTTCTTCCTCCCTCTCACTTATAGCTCTTTAGCTGCACTCCTGTACACAGACAGGGTCACTTCAATTTCATCTTGTGGAAGGTGCTTTATTTTTATTTCTTAAATACTGTGTAAATAAAGACTAAATGAGAAAAGAATATGAAGCACCTTGGAAGATGTCTTGGTAAATGCATGTGAAAATGTGACATAAGAAGTGTTTTCATTTGGGCTTATTAATTGCCTTTTTGGATGAGGTTACCATATTCTCTCTCTTTTTTTATTAATTTATTCATTTTCCATTAGGTAAGGGAAGATTCTTTTTTTATTAATTTATTCATTTTCCCTTAGGTAAGGGAAGATTATAGGGAAGAGGATTTGAATCAGGGTATTGGGGTAAATAAAAAATACAGAATGTGATAGAGAACAGTATACTGTATATCATTATTACATTTGTCGATATGTTTCTTACTAAGCTTACTTCACACTTATCTTGCAATTTTTCTAAAGTCTTTAAAATCTATGATTATATCTATATTTTCTCATAATTTTAACCCCATTCATACTCTCATCTCTCATCCTGGTTACCACATTCTCAAATGCATCTCCTTAACTGTATAGATCTTAAAGTTAGTAGTCTTGGGATTCTTCAAGGTTTTTGTGAATTATCTCTGTCCTCCTTAAGACCCGTGTGGAAGAGGGGCATTTCAGCAGATGCTGCTTTTTTCTCCCTTACTGTTCTGGCATGACAAGCTGTATCTGCCTAAATTCCCTCTTGTACAGAACTGATGGAGGTATGGGAGTGCTTAGCTTCCTGACTTAGTTGCAGACAAGGTTGTGTGCCATGTCTGTTATCCAGCTCTTTTCTTTTATTAAATTCATTCTGCATCAGGATGGTGTTTTGTTTTTCCAATCCTTTTTAATATTGGGAAAACACGCAAACTTAAGGTATGGGGATGCCATGATGTTAGAGCAAGTGTGTTTTTGTACTCTGCATTCTTTCAAGTTTACCGTATTAGACTACAGAAATGCAGTGAGCTAATGTTGCTAGGAAAGAATCTTAACATCTAGTAGCTTAAAATCTGACCTGTAACCTAACCCGGTTATTTTATTTACACTTGTATCCTGCTCTTCCTCTAAGGAGTTCAAAGCAACCCAAATGGGGTTCCCAGGTGGTCTCCCATCCAAATACTGACCAGGCCCAATCCTGTCTAGATACTGTGATGGACCATCCTCAAGCGGAACAAAATGAAGCAAAATCCTCTTTTTTCCAGTATGTGCATCTTCATATGTGAGATGGGAACTATTTTTCCTTGATTTTGTATAGAACTTTATTTGCATAGTGCAATTCCCAGTCTTCAACTTATTTGTTCTGATGCTGAATCTGCAAGGTAGGTTCCTCCCTGCTTTCTTGCTGAAGAATCCAATAATCAGGTCTAGTTACTTGCCCAAAGTATTTGTAGCCGCTGGATCTCTCTGGCAACAGCATGGATTCCTACCACTTTACCATTTAATCTGCCTTACATTTTTAGGTTTCCTGCCACCTCCATATAATTGCTGCCAGCTTCGTCCAGGAATGATAGTGAGGAATCAAACTTCCAATCTCTGGCTCCATAGCAAGATACCTAGCCCACTGAGCTATCCTTGTGGAACAAATGGCTAGCCTTCTGATTTGTTTCTGTTTTTGGCTATACCCTGGGAGATCAGTTTAAAGCTTCCCAGCTTCAAACCTAAATTTGTCCTTTTGGAGCTGTCACGCAGAGGAGACCCATGATCATAGACATTTTTTCTGCAGTGACTTGCAGCATTTAAGAAGAGCCAGCCTGGAGTAGACTTAAGTGTCCTTCTGGTTATGTTTCCAGCATTGACTATCCAGATGCCTTCAGAAACCCTTTAGCATGAAGACAAGCTCTTTCAGATTTAATTTTTTTAAAAAAACATGTTCTTCTTCAGCCTGTCCAAGATCTTCCAGCTCTCTTGCCAATGGGATTTACATTAAGAGTACAGTAACTTGAACTAGCAATTGGATTTAGGCCTTAGTTTTTTCCTCTGCTATTTTCACTCTAGTCTTGGAGGGGGGGGGTCATTTGAAGGTCCACTTGGAATCAATACTGATCTGTAGTTTAAGAACCACTACTCTAGAATGTACCAAATAAAAAAACTAGTTAAAGATGCTGGCATTTCTGTAGCAGGGAATGTGCTCCTTTTTGCCACCAGACTAATTTATCCAGATTTATTATATAGGGCAGTAATTGCCATTGGTATCCTCCCTGAAAGGCACCAGTTTCACAGAATGGGCTGTAACTTTATTACCTGTTTTCAGGAGAGCATACCAGATGCTAACCACAGCAGAGGGGCTGATGAGCCAGGAGGACACGGTCACTTCAGATGGCCTACAGGAAGTCTTTGCAACAAATCTCTTTGGACATTTTCTATTGGTATGAAGGGTTTGATCTGGTATATACCATGCATCCAAAGACTGCAGCAATGTTATCTAGGTTTTTGTAAATCTGTGGAACCAGTGCCCATATTTGATGGACAGAACACTGGCCTTGTGCAGGCATTCAGCAAAACACAAAAGAGAAGAGAAGCTGACTCATTTATTTTGTTTGTTTATTTGATTTCCCATCTTTCTCCCCTAGAGGTGTCCATGGTGGATACTACCCTGTTTCTCCGAAAATAAGACCTAACCTGAAAATAAGCCCTAGTATGATTTTTCATGATGTTCGTAATATAAGCCCTACCCTAAAAATAAGCCTCAGTTAAGTGAAACCTCGCCCTCCACCATTGTGCACCAAGCAAAAGACTGCATTTGAATAAATGTAGATTGTCATACATGGAAAAATTAAAACATTTATTTATTTATTAAATTTATACAACATCCCCTGAAAATAAGCCCTATTGCATTTTTGGAGCTAACATTAATATAAGACCCTGTCTTATTTTTGGGGAAACACGGTAGGGAAAAAATTAAAATAACTATAAGCTAAAACCAATTAATTATTGCTACATGAGAATGCAGTAGTAGATATTGTGCAACAGAGCAAATTAACATTCCATAAGGCAATTCAAAAAAGTGTGGTTCCCCCCCCCCCAAAAAAAAACCTCTGATGAGCACCATATTTGGCAGAGAGGGTGGTGCCCCCCCAAAAAAAAACAACTTTGAAACTGGACCTCTGATGAGCACCATATTTGGCAGAGATGTAATAGAAAACCTCCTTTTGCTCTGTGTCAAATTTGAGGATGTTTGGGCAAAGGGATTGGGAGTTACGCTTTTTTAAAAAGTAAAAACTGTTGATCCCACTGGAGACACTGTTGACCTTTTCTTTCTGAAGATTTAAAATAGATCAAATACATAGAAAAGACTAAACTTGCTCATCTTGAAAGAGAATGATTAGGTTGAATGTTGACAACACCAATGGCAGCAATCAAGCTGACCTACAGGATACCCTCTTTTCCTCACTAGCATTCACACTTGTCGAAAAAGAAGCCCTAACCATTGTGTTGTATTTGGGTGAGAAGTGGTAAACCAATTAAAAAAAGAATTCAGCTTCTGGGATTTTCCCTTGTGTGGTGTCACTTTGTGGAATGGTAGTGAGCTGAAGAAGATATCCTGTAGACCAGCTTGACTGCTGCCATTGGTGTTGTCAACATTCAGGCTCCCTTTTGTTATGTAAATCTTGGCATCCTTTTTTGTGCTGGCAGTTTGAGCACAATGTTGTGCAGCAAGTTTGGGCCATTTCTTGCCTTTTTGACTCATTGGTACAGAAGTACAATATCCCACATTCAGAAATAAGACATTTTTTAAAGAATTGAACTTAGATTTAAAACTATAATATACACATATCTAAAACATAATTTTAAAAAGCATACATTTTAAAAGACCTCCCCATCTCAGTTGCAATATATTTTTTAAAGAATTGAACTTAGATTTAAAACTATAATATACACATGCTAAAAACATAATTTTAAAAAGTATACATTTTAAAAGACCTCCCCATCTCTGTTGCCTCCTGGCTCCTTAAAAGCCTCAACACTGCATTGTACTTTGATTACTTTATTGCTGCACAGGCATACACAATAGATATTGTGCAACAGCATTCAGCTTTCCATAAGCCAACTCAAAAAATAGGAGTGCACCAACCAAAAAAGTAACTTTGAATTGGACCTCGGATCAGCACCATATTTGGTATAGTTGTAGCAGATAGTTTGCTCTTATTCTGTGCCAAATTTGGGGACATTTAGACAAAGGGTTTTAAGTTATGATTTTTTTTTTAAAAAAAAAAGTAAAATTGCCCTCCCCTGTGCAGACACCAGAGACTTTTCTGTTTGCAGTAGAGGTGGCGCGAACCAGGAAAATGATGGTTCGTCTTGGTTTATGGTTTGTTGAAGTCCATAAACCTCTGATTTTGCTCCCCCAACAAACCACAAATTAGTTTGTTGGTTCATCAGCCCTGTAAAAGAGCCCCCCAGGCACCAAGGGACACCTCTTGCCCCCTTCCCACCGCCCCGGTTGCTGCCTCTGCTGGCACTGCTCCCATCTTGAGATGCAGCCCAGCAGGCTCCCACAGGCCAGCAGCTTCTGCACATGTACCTGTGTCTCAGCTGAGGCTGCCAGGCTTTTTTTTTCCTTTTAGAGGCATTTTTCTTCTACGAATAAAAATAAAAACCCATATGTTTTAGCTGAGCCCATCTCTCAGCTAAGGTGGCCAAGCTTTTTCTTTTTCTTTTTAATAAGACAGCCAGGTGCATGGGCAGAGGCAGCCAGCCTGCAGGAGACAGCTGGGCTGCCTTCCTAGAGGGCCTCTTCTACCCAGTGGTAGAAGAAGAGGCAATGGCAGCAAAAGTTTGGGAGACGACGGGGCCAGTGGGAAGGGGCAGGGGGTGTCTGTCTCTATGTGCCTGGGGTGCCTCTAAAAAAAGGAAAAAATTAAGATGAATCAATAACTTGAAAATCACTAAAAATTCTTTGATTTGTATTCATCAGGGTCATTGCATTTGATGAACATGAAGTGATGAATTAGCAATTTTGACAATTTTTCTAATTCGTTTTTTGCCCACTTCTAGTCTGCAGATTTAAAACAGACCAAACACATCGAAAAGACTGAATTTCCTTATCTTGAGAGAGAATGGTTAGTCCCACCCCCCCTTTTTTTAAATTTGGAAGGAAACCAAGCTTCAGTGTGTCTGTGTTCAACTGGATTTAAGACAAACAATTTCAAAGGGAAAAAACTCAACTTTCTGGCTTTCTTATCAGCATGAAGGTTCTAAATATAAACATTCTTGTAAGCTTGAGAGCAGGGAAAGGAAATCAGAACTTTTGGCCCTGCTAATTAGCACCAAATTAAATGATTCTCAAGAGGAGAACTTTTTAACCCCTTCCTGGCCAAACACTTTTAAAATAGAGGAAAGGATTATCCGAATTTATGGTTATCACTCCTCAAAATTAAGAGAGAACCAATCTGAACATCAGAGGGAAAGTAGTCACATGGATTAGGCCACTTTACACTTGATTTTTTACTCCTGGGCTACCGTGAAGTGGCACAGATGTCAAGTGCCTGTGCCCAGTAAGACAGAAAGCTTGGAGAGCAGGACAGAGGCGGTCTTGATTCTCCTCTGTGCATCATATCTCCGCAAACTGAATCAAGTGTTAGTTGCATTTGGTTGAGCCTTTTCTAAAATAAAACTACAGTATGCACTAAACATGACTGGCAACATTTGTGTGGCTTACAGTTGTCACAGGCTAAAGCAATGGTTAACATTTCTTACTCCAAGGGGAAGAGGGCCACTATCACATTTTCATGCCACAAAGGTTGAAAGTGCTGTCTTCTCATTTCCCATGCACACAAATAAATTTATAGCAGGTGTCCAATCTGTGTGAGATAAAAAATGTTTATCTTTTTTTCCCTTGGAAGAAAATGTCTCTTCTGGAAAGAGTATTTGTAAAGAGGGCAATGCATTTAATTTAGGGCCATAAACAGTGGTGAATATTAATAGGTTCACATCCAAACAGTGCCCTTTTTTTTCCAAAATGCACTCCATGAATCAGGCACCTTTTCAGATGGCCCCTTGGGGGAACGGGAGGGCTGTTAAGATTTCAGTAAACCTGTTTTTCACTACATGCTCTTGAATGTCAAAGCCAGAAGTGCTGTCGAGGTAGACCGTAACATATAACTGTTAAAGCTGTTGCTGTATATGTTGATAGTGCAGCCCTGATGCCTTATTAAATCCTCGTTCCTTGTCTCTGCAGATAAGACAGGTGGAGCCTTTGGTTTGCTCTGCTGAAAAGAACTGCCACCTTATCTGGACTTCCTCTGTTAATGCCCATAAGTCTAACTTCAGCCTGGAAGACTACCAGCACAGCCGAGGCACAGAGAATTACAGCTCTTCTAAATATGCCACGGATCTCACAAGTGTGGCTTTGAACAGCCACTTCAACAAGCGGGTGAATATGTTATTCCAGCTGGGGTTATAGGATAACACCCAGAGTGTCTCTGAATTGTTCTTCTCCCAGAGTTGGAGCCCTAGTGGAGCTATCCACTGGGCCATGCTCTCATCTGAGATTCCTGTTCACATGTTTAAAAACAGAAAGGAAGGCCTGGATGATGCTGTGGGGCAATCTTGGGAAAGCTGCTTCCTCTGAGTGAACTTTGCTATTAAGTGCAGAACACATTTATTTGGGATGGGTGCAGTTGTTTGGGGATTTGGCCTCACAATATTCACTTGAATCCACGTCTGTTTCTTCCCCCTTTTTCTTTCTGAACAGGGCCTGTATTCTAGTGTCATGTGCCCAGGTATTGTGAGGACCAATATGACTTACCAAATCTTGTCGCCTTTTATCTGGATGCTGTTTTCTCCCCTCTTTTGGCTGGTGAGTATGAGGACACTTTTGGAGCCGTAGTACACCCTGAAAACCAAGTGTGGGAAGCTGGTGATCAATTCAGAGTCCCAAACAAAGACTCAGTCTGTAGACCCAAGGGCTCCGTTTGCGAACGCCAGGCCGTGCACTTTTTGCTATAAAGTGGCATAAAGAAAATCCTGCCTAGCTGCCTCCTGCTTGTGGGATGAGGGGCGGAAGGTTCTGCGTTATCCTTTAGACTTTGGTGCTGTTTCTCTATCCCCAGGGCCACAGAGTGGGGAGAAAAGAACTAACTTCTTGCATTTTCCTCCCACCCCAGTTTCGCCTTTTTAGCCCCACATATACATTGACACCATACAACGGAGCAGAGGCACATGTAAGTAAGGTGTCTAGATAAGAGCACATTATTCCATTTCATCTTCTCTTGTTCCATGATAGCTCTTATCCCCAATGTTTCTTAGCATTTTTACTGTGGCGTAAATGCTATCAAGAGGGCGGGGGGAGTGGATTTGAGGCAAGTTGGTTTTCGTCTTTCAGCCCTGCCCGTTTAGCATGACTGCAATGGACAATGAAGTCATATATGAAAACAAAGCACAAATTATTCTTCAGCATTCGGCAACTGTAGGCTGTTCCCACTCTGTAAGAATTAAGGAACATCTTTCTCTTCCAAGACAGATGAGGTGTTGCCAAACTGCCCCGAAAGCCACCAACTTTTTCATTAAAAACTAAGTGGTTCAGAGATTATTAGGGAAGTTATCATGAATCTTGCTCACTAGCCATGTTGGCTGGGGGATTCTGGGAGATAAAGTGCAAAAAAGTAGCCAAGGTCAATTCTCATTTTAATTTTCTCACTTTTAAAATGAGATCTGCTTTTTATGTTTGATCCAGAAGATGGCATAGAAATGTTTTAAATAAAATGAAGTTGGTGGTCCTGTCCTATTGCAAATGTTTATACTCAATGCCTGACTGTTACTGCCCATTTTCTTCACTTAGCGCCCCTCACATTTATTTCTGAGCCCTTAAAACTCCTACCATTGATCACCCTTCTCATGGTTCTTATTGGATGGGGCCTCAGCTCCCAGTGTTGGCTGTTCTCTGTCTATAATTGGAGTCATCATGGCTTCAAACTAATTAATTAATGACAACTCCCCCCCCCCC